TCAGGCAGATTGATTTGAAGATTTGCATCAAACATGTTGACAATCCTAAATCATAGGTAACAAAAGTATTTTATCTTGATGATATGACACAGGAAAAATCGAACGTACCAATCTTATTCAAACGGATGCTATTTATCATGCTTATTCGATTACTACCACGAGCAGAAAAAATACTTGCTCTCCAACTTTTGATATGTAATGTAAGTGGTTGTATATGTTTCCATTATGCAGGTTGATAGAGGGTTGTACAAGTAATGATCCTTCCAAAATACCCACATTTGAAAGGGTCATAGGCACTCTAGAAGAGGAATCAGTGTCTTTAGGGAGACCTGCATGCCCAGTTATTTGTTGAGTGCGGGTGTGGACTGACGGAAGGACAAGAAATGCACCAAATCGATACGACTTTAGTTTGTCATGGACAAGCCTTTGTAATTTGAATTTATGAGAGATAGTAGTAATATTGTCTTGTGATATTGAATATTATGTGTGAGTATATTGTGAAAACTTAGAGTTTGATTGATGCTATAATTTGTTTGAAGGGTTCACTGGAAATACTTTCCACTCAGCTTCTTGCTCTGTAAAATGAGTAATTTCTTTCTGCCTTTAATGTTTACTTATTTTTAAACAAACGATGTTGATCTATGAAATTCGCACAACCAATTAGAGTGTGTGGATGTCTCGTTTGCACTTGGGCCAATTACGGTGGTTGGTAGCTTCAATCTCTTGAAAAGGAAACATAAAGAGGTGACTGAAGAGGTGGTTGACAACTTCCTGCCTTTATTAAGTTTTGTAATACACACACCACTTTTCTACAATATTAATATATATCTCCTTCCCTTGCTAAAATTTATAAAAGAGATCAGCTTAGTCAAAATTACATAAATAACCCTACTGTGCCATGATCACCTGGAGCAAACAGAAACAGGCTCTTCTGCTATAGTCTCCAACGATGGCTTTTTTGACCTACACATAGACACCCTGTGCATGAACTCCGGCGCCGAGAAATCTTCAATATCATCCAAATTCAACTTCGGCTTCGCGGCCTCATGTTCAAGATTTTCCCGCCAATTCTCCATCCTTTTATTATCCTCCTCATCATCAGCAAGTTCCCCGGACTGATCCTCAGCCGGCTGCACCCTCACGTTTCTGCCCGAAAGACGCTTGGCTGCCGAGCTGGCGGTGAGGAACAAGGCGCCCATATCGGCTGGCGTCACGGTAGAGTTGAGCCTCTTCATGGGGAACATGACGTACACGTCACCAATCTCCAAGTCTTCATCAGCATTGAGAGCTGAAAATCTTCTTCCAATATGGAGGGACTTTGTGTTTACAAGGAAGAAGTTTGGGGTCTCAAGCATGAGCTCTGCAGCTTTCATTGGTACATAGAATTGCTTGATTTCGCCGCTCGGGACGATGACTTTGGTGGCTGCTTTGCTGTTCTTGGCTATTTGGGTTGATAGGGTGCAAGAAACGTAGTTGCCCATGTCTTGAGGAGAGAGAGAGAGAGAGAGAGAGAGAGAATGGGTTTCTGATATGATGAGTTTTGGTTTGAGGAGATGAAAGTCTTTTGAGGACTGACTGAGTCTAGGAATTGTGGGAGTTGAATTTTTATAAGGGAATGTATGAAGAGGTCTCTCATCTGAACAAGAAATAGGATTAGAAGATTCTAAAATAATAAAGACAATAGAAAGAAAAAAAAATTATTGAGAGAGAGAGAGAGCCAGTTGTATGTGCGGTTGACATTGTTGGTAGACTCCGCGTTGGGCCAAAAAAAGTAGAAAAAAGAAAATGAGAAAATGTAGTGGAAGGTACGCTACTACATTTCCGGTTGTTTTTTTATTAGTTAGTTAATTATGAAAAGCTATATGCTTATGCCAAGGTTAGTTCAATTGGTAAGGTCCCTACATTATGTGTAGTTCTACTAGTGTTTGAGTTCCGCTACCAGCAGTTCTAGTTGGTGCACGATCTGTAATTTCCTATATAAATCTAAATCGGTTGCAGCTAATAATTGGGTGCTATGCGTAAATCTTTCGGCTTAATGTTGTAGGTCTGCTATGGCGCTGGTGGTGAGAGTAGCCAATTTCCCTTCTAAATTTTTTTTAAAGCTATATGCTTATAATGTGATGAATGAACAAATATACTCTATTAAATAACGTGTGGGACCCCCTCTTCATTTGTCTTTGACTTCCTCTTTTTTTATTTTTTTTTTATTTTTGTGAGATGGGATTAAGTGCTTATCGACAACTACTTCAATTTTATAATTCTATATCCTAAAATCATCAAATTTTAGTCACTAAAATGTGTCAATATACATGTCAGCTTCGTACAAGTTAGAAATGGATTTAGAGTGAATTCAGACTTAACATAAAGAAATATTGCAATATTATAAACAACATTTGATGAATTTAGTCATTATACGTATCATGAGTCTCTTATTAGAAATATATAACTGAATTATTGATAAACAAATTTGATGAGTGTAGGAGTAATTTGTATAATTACTTTGTTATTGTTTTTATAGGAGGCATTTTTGCTCATAAATATTTTTATTAAAAAATTGTCGAGTTTTTATTAAAAATTTAAATGCTACCAAGAAAAGCACTTGAAAGTGCTTCCTCATAAAGTGTTTTTATGACTCATAAATACTTTCGAATTCTTCAACCGAACATAGTCAGCAGTATTTTTACTTGTCAATAAACGCTTTTAAGCTCTTCTAGAAGAATTCTCAACCATGCAAAGCTACTACGTATGTTCCATGATTTTTAAAATAAATAAATAAAATTATATCTCTTCCCTGATTGATGGATGATTCAATGAGATAATATGAATGTGACATGAACCTTTGAATGTGCAATATACGAAAACTATATGCATGAGTTAATAGTAGGGTTGCGTGACAAATCTGGTTTTAAATTTCTCTCTCTCTCTCTTTCTGCCGGTGGCGGTTGAATGAGTCCGTGGTGATGGAGACTCAAAGAAATTGAACCTAAGGAGGGCAGGCAGCTCATCACATTCATACGTTCATATTCATATGCTCCTACTGCTGCTTCACGGGATCATTGGTGTCACATCTCCAAAAGTTTCTTTCGCATAATTCTCTCTCTCTCTCTCTCTCTCTCTCTCTCTCATTAATTGTACTATATTCTCTATCTATAATAATATTAGAGACATATTTTTATTTGTTTATATATTCCGAATTGGTTGACAAAGTAGTAATTATTTATTTAAAATAGCTACTTTCCATCTCATAAAACCACCTCTCCTCGTATTGGACTACATCTCATTTTTGCTTGAACCTTTTGTGCACTCCACCGGCACTTCCTGGAAAACAGATCTGTTTGTGTGTGTATGTGTATGCATGTAGGCCTTCAAAATAAAAGCATCAACTCCGTACTTTTTTTGCTGCCAGATTCCCTGTTTCCTTAAAATATATTTATTTTTTGTTCTTTACGTCACCCAAAATTTTAATTTGATTTAAGTTTTTTTTTTTTGGTCACGTAACCCGTTTACTTACCAAAAGTTGGTATGAGAAGAAATAGAATTATTCCAATTTCTCTCTTCCTTATGTTTTACCAACTTAAAATCAACATAGAGCAATACCCTCAAAATCAAGAACTGAATTAACTGAGGGAGCTAATTGATCCAATTCTAATTTCTTACTTCCCCTATTCTTAGGTTCCCGTTTTTCTTACTTCCTCCGTTCCAAGTAAATAAACATGCCATTAATGATTTCTTTTTTTGTCAATGCGATTAATGATTTCAATTTAATCCTTTAAACTTTTTGTTTCCAGTTAAAACAATGTGGCCAATCAGTCCACCATATTCACAAACCTAAATCAACCCAAGAATCTGATATATTGGGAAATACAAACCTAAATCAAGTGGATCCATTGGGGGATTCAGTAATAGGCACAAGATTGACGTACTGAATAGGTAAATGTATGGCAGAGACAGCATGAACTTTATTACTTTGTTTTGTGTTTGTTGGCAGAAAGTAAAGAATCTCACATCTGTCACAAAATTCATAAATGGCATTTCAAAATCTCATTACATCAGAACCTGCAAACATCAGGCAACAAAAATACCTCATTTCGACATTACTATAACTACCTCTAGTGAGTGCAAAGAACGCATGCTGTTTGTATGATCTCAGAGCATCAGAATCTGCAAAAATCAACAGGCACAACCCCGATTCATCTCTGGAGCTGTTTGGAACTAAACTCTACTTTTCTGTGGCTGAAAGGGCAGCATTTCCTCAAATAGCCTGAGCCAAATTTTCTGATGCACTGGATGCTTCCAGCCTGCAAGAACATATCGTCAGTAACACTCAATCATCAGATGCGGCCTTTTTGTTGCAGACTTTTACCTTAGGCATCAAATAAAAGGAACTCATATCGACCAAAAATAATTAGTAAACCGCATATAGACTATACAACTGTATAAATCGACCATAAATGCAGCCTAATAAATATCAACAGTCACTTGATTAACTAAGGTGTAGTTCCAGGAAAGCAAACATCCATAAACATATTTCACTCCACCCTGGACATCAATTACATTGGACCAATGAATGGTTTCTTGTATCTTTCTAAATATATTCTCTTTAATGCCAAACAGGACTGTAAATTCCATTACGCGGCAAAAGGATAGAATAATGTAAGAATTGTATAGGTGTTATGCATTGCGAGATAGCAGTAAAGGTCATTACATAGAGGTTGAGTTTTTTTATTTTTTTTTTATTTTTGTGAGATGGGATTAAGTGCTTATCGACAACTACTTCAATTTTATAATTCTATATCCTAAAATCATCAAATTTTAGTCACTAAAATGTGTCAATATACATGTCAGCTTCGTACAAGTTAGAAATGGATTTAGAGTGAATTCAGACTTAACATAAAGAAATATTGCAATATTATAAACAACATTTGATGAATTTAGTCATTATACGTATCATGAGTCTCTTATTAGAAATATATAACTGAATTATTGATAAACAAATTTGATGAGTGTAGGAGTAATTTGTATAATTACTTTGTTATTGTTTTTATAGGAGGCATTTTTGCTCATAAATATTTTTATTAAAAAATTGTCGAGTTTTTATTAAAAATTTAAATGCTACCAAGAAAAGCACTTGAAAGTGCTTCCTCATAAAGTGTTTTTATGACTCATAAATACTTTCGAATTCTTCAACCGAACATAGTCAGCAGTATTTTTACTTGTCAATAAACGCTTTTAAGCTCTTCTAGAAGAATTCTCAACCATGCAAAGCTACTACGTATGTTCCATGATTTTTAAAATAAATAAATAAAATTATATCTCTTCCCTGATTGATGGATGATTCAATGAGATAATATGAATGTGACATGAACCTTTGAATGTGCAATATACGAAAACTATATGCATGAGTTAATAGTAGGGTTGCGTGACAAATCTGGTTTTAAATTTCTCTCTCTCTCTCTTTCTGCCGGTGGCGGTTGAATGAGTCCGTGGTGATGGAGACTCAAAGAAATTGAACCTAAGGAGGGCAGGCAGCTCATCACATTCATACGTTCATATTCATATGCTCCTACTGCTGCTTCACGGGATCATTGGTGTCACATCTCCAAAAGTTTCTTTCGCATAATTCTCTCTCTCTCTCTCTCTCTCTCTCTCTCTCTCTCTCATTAATTGTACTATATTCTCTATCTATAATAATATTAGAGACATATTTTTATTTGTTTATATATTCCGAATTGGTTGACAAAGTAGTAATTATTTATTTAAAATAGCTACTTTCCATCTCATAAAACCACCTCTCCTCGTATTGGACTACATCTCATTTTTGCTTGAACCTTTTGTGCACTCCACCGGCACTTCCTGGAAAACAGATCTGTTTGTGTGTGTATGTGTATGCATGTAGGCCTTCAAAATAAAAGCATCAACTCCGTACTTTTTTTGCTGCCAGATTCCCTGTTTCCTTAAAATATATTTATTTTTTGTTCTTTACGTCACCCAAAATTTTAATTTGATTTAAGTTTTTTTTTTTGGTCACGTAACACGTTTACTTACCAAAAGTTGGTATGAGAAGAAATAGAATTATTCCAATTTCTCTCTTCCTTATGTTTTACCAACTTAAAATCAACATAGAGCAATACCCTCAAAATCAAGAACTGAATTAACTGAGGGAGCTAATTGATCCAATTCTAATTTCTTACTTCCCCTATTCTTAGGTTCCCGTTTTTCTTACTTCCTCCGTTCCAAGTAAATAAACATGCCATTAATGATTTCTTTTTTTGTCAATGCGATTAATGATTTCAATTTAATCCTTTAAACTTTTTGTTTCCAGTTAAAACAATGTGGCCAATCAGTCCACCATATTCACAAACCTAAATCAACCCAAGAATCTGATATATTGGGAAATACAAACCTAAATCAAGTGGATCCATTGGGGGATTCAGTAATAGGCACAAGATTGACGTACTGAATAGGTAAATGTATGGCAGAGACAGCATGAACTTTATTACTTTGTTTTGTGTTTGTTGGCAGAAAGTAAAGAATCTCACATCTGTCACAAAATTCATAAATGGCATTTCAAAATCTCATTACATCAGAACCTGCAAACATCAGGCAACAAAAATACCTCATTTCGACATTACTATAACTACCTCTAGTGAGTGCAAAGAACGCATGCTGTTTGTATGATCTCCGAGCATCAGAATCTGCAAAAATCAACAGGCACAACCCCGATTCATCTCTGGAGCTGTTTGGAACTAAACTCTACTTTTCTGTGGATGAAAGGGCAGCATTTCCTCAAATAGCCTGAGCCAAGTTTTCCGATGCACTGGATGCTTCCAGCCTGCAAGTACGTATCGTCAGTAACATCTCAATCATCAGATGCGGCCTTTTTGTTGCAGACTTTTACCTTAGGCATCAAATAAAAAGAACTCATATAGACCAAAAATAATTAGTAAACCGCATATAGACTATACAACTGTATACATCGACCAAGCTAAGAGTCAATCGACCATAAATGCAGCCTAATAAATATCAACAGTCATTTGATTAACTAAGGTGTAGTTCCAGGAGAGCAAACATCCATAAACATATTTCACTTCACCCTGGACAACGATTACATTGGATAGAATAATGTAAATTCCATTACGCTGCAAAAGGACAGAATAATGTAAGAATTGTATAGGTGTTATGCATTGCGAGATAGCAGTAAAGTTCATTAAATAGAGGTTGAGGGCTTGAGGTGGCATGACTGGATGAATGATGATAATCCAACCAGAGTCACTTGCAGGATAACCTTGGCTCAATACCCACAGACAAGCATAGTCGGTGACATTATACAGGTTAATGTCTTTAATATGCACAAAGGAAATAGGGCCCTTTCAGCTCCCACCAAGGCATTTTCTATAATGATACTGTTAAGCCAATTTACCTTTTCTATGAAGTGGGATAGAATACCAACAGGTGGGAACTTCTGATAATTTTCAGGATGCATGTGCAGCATAGAATAATTGTTGTGCACATCCATATTGATGCAGTTGTTAAAGGTTGAAAGCAAAATAATATAGTATAGTTCTCATAAGTTATAAGTAGGTAAACAACAATTATGATGATAATAACAGCAATCATGATTCGTGATCGTCATCCAAATGTGAGACAGATCCCAGTGGAAAAGTAATCATTAGGGTCGGTGTTTCAGATAAGTAGATAAAATGCAGTACAATAAGACTGGATGAATGATGATAATCCAACCAGAGTCACTTGCAGGATAACCTTGGCTTAATACCCACAGACAAGCATAGTCGGTGACATTATACAGGTCAATGTCTTTAATATGCACAAAGGAAATAGGGCCCCTTCAGCTCCCACCAAGGCATTTTCTATAATGACACAGTTAAGCCAATTTACCTTTTCTATGAAGTGGGATAGAACACCAACAGGTGAGAACTTCTGATAATTTTCAGGATGCATGTGCAGCATAGAATAATTGTTGTGCACATCCATATTGATGCAGTTGTTAAAGGATGAAAGCAAAATAACATAGTATAGTTCTCATAAGTTATAAGTAGGTAAACAACAATTATGATGATAATAACAGCAATCATGATTCGTGATCATCATCCAAATGTGAGAGAGATCCCAGTGGAAAAGTAATCATTAGGGTCGGTGTTTCAGATAAGTAGATAAAATGCAGTACAACAACATAAAGAAAGACATAAAATCGATAATAAGATAGATTAATATTGTTGTATGGACATTATTCTAGGAACCAATCAATTATGTAACTAGTATAGCACTGTAAAAATCATACTTAGACAAGAAAAGCATAAAGAATAAGCAATGGGTTTCTACCTTTGAATTCCTTCTCCCATTTCCATCCTGAAAAAGCTCTCAATCTTCACAGGTGATCCCACTTCCGTAGATAGATTCTCTAATAGTTTCTGTAGAATAGTTTGTAAGACACTAGTCAGCAAGTGCACCATATCACTTGGATATGCATGTACCATTTTACCAAGGTCAAACCAACTAATATACTAAAAGTACATCAGACTAACTGATATACCTGACTAACAGTTACCGCGCTCTAATTGCAATGTCAAAATATATTGAATGTGTGACCAAAATAGTCTTGATTCCTCTATAAGGGAGCGTGAAGTTCAACCCACAGAAATGAAGAAATTTCGGGTGGGGAAAGGCCACTAACCTGGTCTAACCTACCACTGCTTTTTAGTATGTGTGCACGCATGAATGAAGTATTTTATATATTTATGCATGGCATTAGGTATGAAAGAAAATGAATTATAACAGTTTATTCATCGTATTTATATAAATGATGTAGTATGCAGGATTACATACAATACATGGATCCATGCATTTTTGTATGTACGCTTATAAATATGACAGTTAAAAATCCATGTATTAAGATGAATTCACACATTTGACAGGCACGAATTCTCATTAAGATAGTATCCATCCACACACCAAAAAACATGTCTTTCTTTCCATATGAACATGGCCATCACAAGGAAGCCACTAACATTGAAATGGAGAAGTAGAATTATCTGCTGATCCTATGCTTATGTCCAAAACAACATTGAAGGGCTGAAAACTTTGGGTTTAGAGTTTAACTTTTCTGATTTCTCTTAGAAAGATTAAATGAAGTATAAAACAATAATCTTAGACATAACCCCAAGATTGACACCAAAAAGATCAATAAAGGATCTCCCAAGATTGACACCAAAAAGATCAATAAAGGATCTAGGCTAAAAATGCACTGGGGGACAACGAAATTCTAGATATTACCACGCTCTAATTGCAATGTCAAAATATATTGAATGTGTGACCAAAATAGTCTTGATTCCTCTATAAGGGAGCGTAAAGTCCCACAGAGATGAAGAAATTTCGGGTGGGGAAAGGCCACTAACCTGGTCTAACCTACCACTGCTTTTTGTTATGCGTGCATGCATGAATGAAGTATTTATATATTTATGCATGAATCCATGCATTAGGTATGAAAGATAATGAATGATAACAGTTTATTCATCGTATTTATAAAAATGATGTAGTATGCATTGATTACATACAATACATGGATCCATGCATTTTTGTATATACGCTTATAAATATGACAGTTAAAAATCCATGTATTAACATGAATTCACACATTTGACAGGCACGAATTCTCATTAAGATAGCATCCATCCACACACCAAAAAACATGTCTTTTTTTCCATATGAACATGGCCATCACAAGAAAGCCACTAACATTGAAACGGAGAAGTAGAATTATCTGCTGATCCTATGCTTATGTCCAAAACAACATTGAAGGGCTGAAAAATTTGGGTTTAGAGTTTAACATTTCTGATTTCTCTTAGAAAGATTAAATATAGTATAAAACAATAGTCTTAGACATAAGCCCAAGAGTGACACCAAAAAGATCAATTAAGGATCTAGGCTAAAAATGCACTGGGGGACAAAAAATTCTAGATAACAAATTTTATCTTCTCATTGAAATTCTTTAGAGTAGATCTTAGAAAATTTTAAATAAAATTATAAAACATTACAACATTTGCGCACCTTTACAGTTAGGGTGTCATCCATAATAAATTTCTGCTCCATAAGAACAACTTCCTCATAGTATTTACGCAAGCGACCTTCTACAATTTTATCTATGGCCATCTGAGACTTACCCGTACTTTCAGCCTGAAATCAAAATGGAACGAAAGTTATTATTACAGGCAGATAGGTGGTGATTACAAGCAGTAAATGGTGTAAAACACTTGCACGAAGATAGTTTATTTCTTTTCTCCATATAAAACAAATAACCAGGATCAATCAGCATAATCATTGCCAGAACATCACCATAAACGAAGAATGAGGAGCTGAACTGTGAAGTACAATTAAAAAGCATGCATGTTGATGTCCACAAATCTCTATATCTAATAACCATTTGAGGCTTCATATTTAGCCAATGATGAAATACAAAGAAAACAAACAAGGAAAAAATTAAAAGTAAAAGAATCAACATTCCACAATGGCTCATTTAATTAGAATCCTACATAGTGTCATAAACACTTGATTAAAGCATGTAACTAGATGAATTTCAACTTGCTTCACAGATCACAATTTGTTTCATGTTTATAACAGAGCCAAGGGACAACCATTAAAGAAAACATGATATTACCAAGTACCTGAGACTTAAGAATTTCACGTTCACTCTCTAATGCATCAGAAGAAACAAGTTCCTTTGTTAAGAACAAGGGCTTCGCTGCCACTACATGCATTGCCAATTGCGAACCAACGCGCTGGATAGCATCTAATTGAGAATTTTTGTCCTCTACTGAAAGAGATAAAATTCCAGCAATACGACCTAAACCTGTAATTAGATAAAACAGAGAATGATGAAAACTAAATGAAAATATTCTTTTCAACTCAGATATTTTTAGTCCTGCAGGACCTGCAGTGATTGTGACTTTGCAATGCAACTTAGCATCAAGGTAGTATCCAACAAGAGCAGAACATAATGCATTTAAAATGAGTATTTTTGTGCGCCTATGTTTGGATGCAAATAGACTATCTCCAGTTAAAGAGGAAAGAAGCGGTTCAAGTTATATTTACCTGGTTGGGGACTTGTATGGAGGTAGGTAGAAACAACACCGTGTGAAGTTGTAGACATCACAATACCCCTTCTAAGTTTAACATTTTCCCCCATCACTGCAGCTACTTCTGTAATTGCATTCTGAACAGTTGTTTCTCCACTAACTTTTGGATGTTCAAGATTTAACTTCAAGTCCTGGCAGGGATTCGACGAATTTAATACAACTCCTCAAGAAACCAAATTCCAATTAAAGTTCAAGAGGCGCTTGGAAATTAATTAAATTCAATAAATAGGCTTACTACTAGTTCACAAATATTAAAAACTTGCATCAAATCATTAACATCTCTGAGTTTACTAATTTCAACTCAAAACACACATAAGAGTACATTACTAATAGGCTTATTTAGCTACATGCCCCCTGTGCTTTTCAACTTGTCTTAGATTACCACCTATGTTTGCAAACGTCTCAAAATACCCCCCAACGTTTAAAAAAGGATCTCAACTTACCCGTTCCGTCAGTATTTTTGACGTTCCGTTACAAGCTTTGGGCCCCACTTCGTTTTAATCTTTAACCTCTTCGAATTAGGGTTTTTCACTTTCAGAGAGGAGGAAATTGGGTATTTGGGTGAGAAGGGGAGATTTGGAGAAGGCTAGGGCTTTTGCAAAATCTGAGGTGGGGTTCGAATTTTGGAGAATCTGGAGAAGTTGCAGCCCATTAAGCTCGAAGTGAATTGGACTGAAGAAAAAAAAGGGCTTGCTCAACTTACTGCTAGCATTCCCAGGCATTTGTACCTCCTCCTCTTTCTTCTTCTCAGTTGGCTTCCCCATTGATATTTCAAGAATATGCAGCCAAAGAAGAAGAGCCCAAAACCAAGGAGAAAGAAAAAAAAATATCCCAGAAAAATCAGAGGAAGAGATGCAGCCAAAGAAGAAGAGCCCAAAACCAAGAGATGATATGAGGAGAGAGATGGAGAAAGAGAAACAGAGGAAGAGCTAGGGGGGTTGATTCTAGAGTTAAAATGAAGTGGGGCCCAAAGTTTGTAACGGAACGTCAAAAATACTGACGGAACGGGTAACGTGAGACCATTTTTTAAAGGTTGGGGGGTACTTTGAGACGTTTTAAAATCCGGATGGTAATCTGAGACAAGTTGCAAAGCACAGGGGGCATGTAGCTAAATAAGCCTTACTAATATCTACTTCTTAATAAGACTTTAGACTAAAGCTAGCAATCACCATTTTCCCACTTTATGGACAACTATTCTGGTGTCAGCTTTCTTTTTCATTCTTTCTTTTTTGTGATAAGAGACAAACTTTTATTCAACACAACAAAAAATAAGATACATCGAGCGGTGGAGAAGGAATCCACCAGAAACAGAAATTATATGATATCTGTGTAGTCCATTGCAACTACCAATGCATGTAAAAGTCATTGTCAGCTGCCAAATATGGTGATAATTCAAGTTACTTTAATCATTATAGATTTTACTAACTAAAATTAAAGATTAATTCAAGGTAAGTTCTTGAAAAATATTTAACTTGTTGGTGACAGGGCAATGATAATAATGTAGACTAGGAAATTGTATGTTGTTTCTAAATTAAATATATGAAAACAATAACACTACAGAAACAAAGGAATGCATAAGCTTACCTCCAAATCCTCAGAGGGGACGTGGAAGACCCCAGAAACGAGTTGAGAAGAGCTTTCAACTAGCAAAGCTTGCTTTGCCAAAGCTAAGGCCTATAAGAAGAACAAAATAGATAAAGTGGCTGCAGAATCCAACAAAATTACTATAAATTCAACATGAAAGACAATACAATAAAGGGTGAATGCCTAACAGATAAAAACTTTTGGAAATTAAATTATTCTTATAAAAATAAAAACCATTGATGAGACCCGTTCTAAATACCAATAACAACCGTATGGTTACAATAACACCTAATCAAATGGAACTCCAAATATGGAGGAACCATATCAGTCACACTAACCAAGTGCTGAAAGATATCATTTCGAGCAACAAAGTCGGTCTCGCAGTTAAGTTCAATGACAGCAGCCTTGCTCTCGTTCTGGGCCAGTGCCAGCAAACCCTCAGCAGCCATTCGAGATGACTTTTTCGACGCCAAAACCTTCCCTCTTCTCCTCAATTCCTTCTGTGCAGCCTCTGCATTTCATTAAAGAAACCAAATTTTTATAAGGAAGGCATAAACACAAATAAGAAATCTAAATTAGAATGAATAAAATGGAGAGAAGGGGTTTTAACCAATGTCCCAATTGCTATCAATGAGAGCAGCCTTGACGTCTTTGATTGGAGCGCTGGTTCTCTCCCTCAGTTGTTTTATAAGGCTCATTTGGTCAGAAGAAGAAGAAGAAGAAGTTCCCACGCTGAACCTTCTTAGAAAAAGAGCATACCCACATTGGGTATTGGCAAATTTGAGAGAAATTGAGGTTGGGATCTCTGTGGCTTGAGCAAATGAAGATCTTCTGCTTGAAACCCAGGATGAAAAACCACGTCCATTGGCAGCAGCAGAAGCAGTACAAGTACTTGAAGAACTATAACTAGTGTTAAGCACCCTGTTACACAGGAATGAGCCTAGAGAGCGCTTTGCACCTCCACGAAATGCCATGCCAATATACCTTATCCCCTCTCTCTCTCTCCAATCTAATATGTAAAATTCAATCAGAAAAGTGCTCTATTAAAATCTCATACAATGATACAATGTAAAGAATAAAGATACTCATTTTCTGCGAAATTTTCCATGAGTTTTCTGAGGAAACAAAAATAGATGGTTTCTGATTGTGAAAATAACTTGAGGATTGAAGCGAGAACTGACCTGACTGATAAAAGAGGTACAGAAGGATCGAACTCTGCTGCTACTATAAGAACTGCGCTTCGAAAATGGTCAGACAAAACCGTTTGATGTAAGTCTCTACGCTTTACTCAGTGGGTTTTAGGTACTCGAATAGATTTGATAATGGGTCGGGTTTTGACCCGAACTCAATTCAATCTTCCAAATCTGTCTCCTTAATTTTTGGGGATTTTTTTCCCTCGACAAAAACTACATTCAATCTAATAAATAATCAAACATGTTGGGGAAATTACAATTAAGAGAATAATTCTTTATTTTCTCTTCCAAGAATCACGTAGCCAATTAGTTTGACGCGACGATATCTGAATCTCCTCAAGTAAATTCAAGTCCATTGTGGTTTGACAAAACCCATAAACTGGTGCAACAGTACAATTCTTGACATGTTCCCTCCAGGATACAACAACCCAATTAAAATGTATAGGGACTCCAAAAGTCGTGAGATTATATGAGGAATAAGAAGATATGAGATAATAATGAGGGATGATTGAAATGGTGGGGAATGTGATGTTATTTATAGACTTGTAGCATCACCCCTAAATTAATAGGGTGGAAACCCCAAAAGCCCAGAGTCTCAAAATTAATATAAGGTTACATAAGTTATAAGAATATGAAAGTACAGAGACTCCATAATAATGTTCCACTAAATAAGCCACTATAACTCTCACCATAGCATTTTCTCACCAAAAGAACATGGTGAGTTTGATGAGAAGAAAAAAGGCTTAAAAAGTTATGAAGATAATCAAATAGCAAACCCGTTTACAATTTTCATACATTTTTGTTGGGACAATCTTTGAAGGAAAACCTAAAAGATGAATGATTTCCAAGTGAATAATGCTAGGGAGACCAAATTTTGTGGACATGTAACAAATGAAGTGTCGTGTTATGTCAATGATGTCAGTTATTTTATTATGTTCTTAAACCTTTGATCACCTTCGTCTTCTCTCCTCCCCAGCCATTTACCGAAAAAACTTTACAGATATTGAACCTAAGAATTAAGAAACCAATCTAGAAAATACGTTGACAATTATTTACACACCTAAATCAATTAACACTACACAACCATACACAAAATCCAAATGAAGATAAACAAAATTGTTGAGTTGCATCAGTTACCTTCACAAGAATCACAACATACCAAACACAATATTATTATTATTTTTTTAAATGTTGAATGAATTCCTAATGGAGAAGTGGCTTTGATCATACACTAGCATAAAATCAAGCTGTTGGGAATAATTTTTATTAGGTCATCAATACCATGAAGAAAGTTGAGGTTTCACCCCAAAACCAATTGGTAATAAGGAGAGTAGCCCAACTCCTTATAAGCCCATACTAGGTCCCTCAACTTTTCAACAACATGACCTCGCAAGTGTGGTGTACTTTCAAGCCTAACAATCATTGTGAACCCTTGATTTTGTTTTGTATTTTTAGTTGGTGCCATTTGTGTGAAAAAATAACTAAATAAATTTGAGGCTCAATGTGATGAAAGTTTGTGAATTTTTAGAAATTAAGTTGAATTTTTTAGGGCTCGTGGTCAGCCCCACCTACATTTGACCACATGATCTTTACAGATCACCAGGCGGGTGTACCACACCATCCTTGTGTACCTCGCCGTCGTCCACCGCTGAGGAACTCATGGTCGGCCCTTCCTCCCTTTGACCATTCGGTCTTTTTTATCGTCCCCAAAGATCCCCAAACAAGGGTCTTGGCCGATCTTTCCCTGTATGTCCAGAATTTGTATCCTACAAATCTTTGGTTCCGAGGTCAAGTCGATGTATCCGCTAATGTATTGGTCGAGGCTTTTAATTGGGTTTTTCCTCAAGCTGTTAAACCCATATTAATGATGCTGTTGAGGTTTTTGATTAATGAAGAGAATGTGGTTTTCTTATGCAAATTCATCAAGACCAAGATTTCTATGGCCTTTGACTTCACACTCCAGGTGCTATTTTGGCTTTTCAAGAGAAATAAGGTCTCTTCTCTAGTTTTTCAATTTTTTTTTTAAATTACTAATTCTCATGTTCTTGAATTACTAAACCCTAAACCCTCTAAATCTTGATGTTGTTGCAGTTTGATGTGTCTGCACCAAACATGGAAATATCAAGAGGCAATGAGGGGGACGCTAAGTCTGGGTTCTTTCCTCATTCCTATGATCTTCATGTTTCGATATTCTTTATCTATCAAATTACTAAAATGTGTCAGGATGAAGATTTTTGAGCAATCAAGTAGCTAGCAGTTCAAGAGGGAATACAAGGAGCCTTCTAAACTATCTGGTTTCTTTTCATTTTTCATTTTTTTTCCTGGCCCCAAAACGCTTCGTTCTTGCCATGATTTAAGAAAAGAAACAAATAGACATGCAACACAACAAAGAAGAGGAAACAAAGGGTCTCTCGGGCATTTTTTTTCGAATAGTTGGTGTGCACCTCCAAGGCAGAGCGGAAGGGCAATCTCCGGTGACTCCAAACCTTTTTCCAGCAAGGGGAAGTATAGCTGCACCTTTTTGCACCTCTACGGCACTGAGAACATGTATGCTTATTCTTTCCTCATTACTCCATCAATTTTGTAACCTTTCATTTGGAACTAAAGGTGAAGTTCCGAAACACCCAATTGAATTTTTCTTGCACAAACTATATAGAGTATAAGGCAATGTTGGAAAGCATAAAGACATAAAGGGTAAAATCAGGTGCTACAAAGCTTAACTAGATCATGACACATGATCGTAAGGAAGAAAGGAGGCATTATGTACAATAGGTTTTACTTCAAGCTACTCATCATGTTGTTGAGATCACATGCGATTTGAAGGTTGGTGTACCATAATAGTACAACTTCCTCTGACCTTGTCATCGTCGACTACTAAGGAGCTCATGGTTAGCCACGCTTGCAATTGACCTCACGAGTTTACAGATCACTAGGCGGGTGTACCACACCATCCCCGTGTACCTCGCCGCCGTCTACCATTGAGGAACTCATGGTCGGCCCTTCCTCCCTTTGACCGTTCAGTCTTTTTGATCGTCCTCAAAGATCCCTAGACAAGCGTCTTGGCCGATGTTGCCCTGTATGTCTAGAATTTGTATCCTACAAATCTTTGGTTCCAAGGTCGAGTCGATGTAGTCGCTAATGTATTGGCCAAGGCTTTTGATTGGGTTTTTCTGAATCTGTTAATGCCCTATTAATGATGTTGTTGAGGTTTTTGATCGATGGAAATATTAAAAGGCAATGAAAATGACGCAAAGTCTAGGTTCTTTCCTCATTCCTATGATTTTTATGTTTTGATATTGTTCATCTATCAAATTACTAAAAGGTGCTAGAATGAATATTGTTCAGCACTCAAGTAGTTAGAGTGTAAGGTAGTGCAAACATAAAGACATAAGTGGTAAGTCAAGTGCTACAAACCTTAACCAAATTATGACACATTATCATACATAAGAAATGAGGCGATGTGTATAATGAATTTTACTTCAAGCTACTCATCCCATGCATCATGATAGTGCTTTATTTTCAAGTATCATTAGTTGTTATGATCCTCAATTTAGTTACCTTTTATTGTTTAAGTTTTGGAATTAAGGGTGAAGTTCTGAAACACACAATTGAATTTGTCTTGCACAAACTATATAGAGTGTAAGGCAGTGCTTGAAAACATAAAGACATAAGCGGTAAAGTCAAGTACTACAAACCTTAACCTGATTATGGCACATGATCATACAGAAGAAATGAGGCGATGTGTACAATGGATTTTACTTCGAGCTATTTGTCTCATGCATTATGATAGTGCTTTATTTTCGAGTATTATTAGTTGTTATCATCATGTAGATAGGGCTTTTAAATTGAATAATGAAAAACATTAGTTTATGGTGTAAGGGATAAATTTTAGAATAAAGTTTGGGGGGATGAGAACCCCTCCCATTCCCACTCCCACCATTTCAGTAAGCTTTGAGAGAGTTTTTTTACCCATTTCAAATTCCTCTTCGCATTCTTCTCCCACAATCAAAATGACTAAGGTGCGGACTTTATTCAAAAGTGCCTTGGCAAGAACACACGCTGCTGTCAACTACTTTAAGGTATTCAAAAAGTCCAAAAAGGTCGTTGAGCTTCCCCTAGACTCACCCTAGAGACAACAAGTCGAGCAACAGCTCGAAAGAAGTGTCGAGTCTGTCACAGATGGTCATGGTATTTTTATTCACAATGCTTCAGAAGTAAAGGCTTGTGGCTGCTTAAACCTCCACTCCAAGTGGTGGGGGAAGAAAGTGGAGTATTACTCGAACGTCAGGCTCAAGTGTATAATTTCTAACATCAAAGATAAGGAACCCTAAACTCTAAACCCTAAACCCTAAACCCTAAACCCTAAAGATTTTTCACTAAGGCACCTCCCACGCCCAGAAGGGGGCTTGAGAAAGTGAGAGACGATTATAGAAGTTTAGATGCCATCGTTGGCACTACTAAGGGCCAATTTGGCATTGCTGTGCTGTAAAAATAATTGCTGTCAAATTTGCTGTGAAAGAAATCAGCTGTGAGAGAAAGCAGTTTGGCGTTTGGTAAACTTTTTGTTAAAAGTGTTGTTTGTACAATAATCAGTTTCTGAGCGTTTGGTAAATTTTTTGTGAAAGTGCTATGAGCTGTTGTGGCTGCTAAAACCTCCACTCCAAGTGGTGGGGGAAGAAAGTGGAGTATTACTCGAACGTCAGGCTCAAGTGTATAATTTCTAACATCAAAGATAAGGAACCCTAAACCCTAAAGATTTTTCACTAAGGCACCTCCCACGCCCAGAAGGGGGCTTGAGAAAGTGAGAGACGGTTATAGAAGTTTAGATGCCATCATTGGCACTACTAAGGGCCAATTTGGCATTGCTGTGCTGTAAAAATAATCGCTGTCAGATTTGCTGTGAAAGAAATCAGCTGTGAGAGAAAGCATTTTGGCGTTTGGTAAACTTTTTGTTAAAAGTGTTGTTTGTACAATAATCAGTTTCTGAGCGTTTGGTAAATTTTTTGTGAAAGTGCTATGAGCTGTGTATAATGACTAAAAAGGGCATTTTGTTGAAATGACTTTTCTGTTCAAGTGTTTGGTAAAAAGAAAATCACTTTCACTTTATCTTTTTTTTTTTGGTATTAAATATATTTCCATGACACCTTAATTTTATTTTAATTATAAAATAAATAAAGTTTCCATTAAA